TGTGTGTGTGTGTGTGTGTGTGTGTGTGTGTGTGTGTGTGTGTGTGTGTGTGTGTGTGTGTGTGTGTGTGTGTGTGTGTGTGGCTGGGGATTTTGGAAGTGTGGATCGCTTGTTTAGTGAGACTTCTGTCTCTTAAGTTGATTAGGTTACTTCTGTTTAAGAAGCCAGGCAGCCTGTTATGAAAGTCTTATCAGTATTTGCTGGATTAAGTGTCACAGTTTAACTCAGATCTTGATTCCTCTGCATGTTGAAGTTACACTGTAACTCCCACATGTGTAAATCCGCACATCACCACTGTTTGTTTTTGGGGGGCGTTGGAGATGGGGTCTGTATTAGTGATGGGATTTCCGGCTCTTTTTAGAGAGCCGGCTCTTTCGGCTCCCAACCGGCTCTTCAGGTTGTTTTGTTGCTTTAATTAATTTATTATCAAAAACAATATAAAATTATGCACAAAAGGAATTACTAATGTAAAAAAACCCTGTGGTTTTAATTTTATATGTTTATATATAAATATATGCGGTGGCCCCTAGAGACAAAACACGTACAAACTCCAAAACACATTTCTAGCATGAACTGAACTTCAGAACAGAGCTGCCTAGATCACTTAAATTACACAATAGAAAGCATATGTGTGTTGTTTGTGTATTTATACACAAGCACTCATATATATTCAAATAATTTAAATAACTGTTTATTTACCTGTTACTACCACACACCAAATCCGGTCGTTGGCACTTCCTGGCTTGTGTAGCCTCTAGGTAACAAAAGCTCAACACTGCCCCCTAGCATCCTGGAGCACTTCTGTTGTGTTTTTACGTGTTTTGGAGTTTGTACGTGTTTTGTCTCTAGGGGCCACCGTAAATATACTTTTATTTATTCACTCCACATAAAATGTAATAAATAAATCATATTATACAAACCCAACTATTTACATTTCAACTTTTAAACAAATTTAAAGTGAAACAACACAAAACACTGCAAACCACAACACAATTAAATATAAATAAAAATATGAAAACAAAAAGAAGATGCACATCCTCTGTCATATGGACCTGCATGAATAAACTTTCTGAATCCTTTATCATCTGCAACTGAAAATAGTTGTGGATGATTACTATACCTTTCTAATGTGACCTTGTTGTCCCTGGCTCTCTTTCTCTCTCTTTCCCTCCCGCTCTGTGCGGAGTGAAGCGGGGAAAACAGTGCAAGAGAGGGTGAGAGAAAGGGGGGGAAAAACAAACCCACGGCTCCCAATAAGGAGCCGGCTCGCGTCGTTCACTTCAAAGAGTCGGCTCTAAGAGCCGTTTTGTTTGCCACTGACACATCACTAGTCTGTATGGAGTAGGTATTTAATAAAATGAACATGTAACACTACATGTATGAAGACTAATTTACAGCTACTCTAAATATCTGTTAGATTGAACACTATCTTTGAAGCTGGATTTAATAAATCAGTTTTTGGGACAAGTTTAGCACCATCTTGTGGCAGTACAGAATGTGACACCAGTGGGTTTGGTTGGTTGCTGCTTATTGACTTACATTATTTTATGTTAGCTAAGTGACAGAAATGATAACTTAGTGGAAAACAAGTCAGTCACTTCTCCACTGTCTTTGGCTGCAGCAATGAGTGTTTTTGTTAAAACCAAGAATATACTGTTCAAGTTCACTCTCTGTCTCAAGTAGTAAGTTGTTTTTCGTTGCTGGCTAGCTGCACTGAAATGTAAAAATCCAGCTGTCACCCATAATGTGAGTGTTTGTAGAGGATTTTATAAATGAGGACAGTTTGAGGAGTGCTTGAGGTGCACCGGTGGTTCACTGGACCGACAAGATCAGGTCAGACATTTGTTTCCTCCTCAGGTCAGGTGGACAGACCGAGTGGTGTAATCAGCTGGTGTCAACAAGATGTGATGAGCACTATTTTATGCAGTAAAATCTAAACAGTTTACAACGTAAAAGGAGCCAGATATTAATAATAAGTAATGACTAAATGCAGGGGGGTCTTTGCTTGTGTAAGGCTTGTGGCTTTCCTGTGGCACTCCTACAATACAAATGTAATGAGGTCAACTGCAAAAATAACTGATTTACTAAAGCTATACACGAGAGGCACAGTGTCAGTTTTGCGACTCACATGTTTTGCATGGATGTGTATTTTTTTATTTTTATTTATTTATTTATTTTTATGTGGACATCCCGTTTTGGGTTGTCTAGACCAGCGGTCCCCAACCTTTTTTGCGCCACGGACCAGTTTATGCCTGACAATATTTTCATGGACCGGCCTTTAAGGTGTCGTGGATAAATACAACAAAATAAAACTAGTACCGGTACCAAAAAAAAGATTTATTCATAAAACTCGTGAAAAGACCCAGGAAAACGAAGTAACGATAAAAACGATAACAAAATAACGCTGAAAACCGATAAAAACCCTGAAAACCAGACATTTCACACCTGAGCCTCAACTCTTGCGGCCCAGTACCAAACGACTCACGGACCGGGGGTTGGGGACCGCTGGTCTAGACCACAATACTAAACTTTGCTGATATCCTCTCCTCAGAAACTACATCAAGTAAAAAGACAAACCATTGTTTTCACATTCATCAGGTCCCAATCAGCCCAAATTAAAAATGCATGCCATGAAAGAGTCGTTCTTCTGCATGTTTAGAGCAGGTTTCTGCGTAGTAAGTAATGTTTTGTGTTCTTCTACTCATCGAACAGGTCAGCTGTTGAACACAGACTTCAGGTTTACAGGTTTGATTTTATGTCTAGTCTACACACGTGCATCAGAGCAGCATTTGGGTTTCACTGCCCAAGGATGGAGTAACTAGGGATCGAACCACCACCCTTCTAATTACTGCACCTCCTGAGCTAAAGTGGCCCTTATTGAAAATCGTATTGTTTTCTTCTTCAGCCTCTTGTTATTTATTTTCTCTTCCATTTTGTCCTCATACACAAACACCTGTAAAACCTCCTCTTACACTGTATTATTTTTCTTAGGACATCACTGGCTCCCTCGCTCTCCCCTGCATGTGTTCACTTTCGAGCCACTTGCTTTCGCTGCTCTTGGCAGGTGATTATTGAAGTGAACTAACTGCATCTTTGTACATAAAGTGGAAAACTGTTAGGTAACTCAAAGAACTTTCCATTCTCATGGGCCCATTATGGGATGATACTGATACTAAATCCTGAGTTGCCCCTGGTGTGTGTGTGTTTCAGATAAAAGTGCTATGGTATGGATAAATACACTGTATGCATGTTGGAGTCTAATTGGGTGAATGATACTTTTAGTAGAACGTGTTACTCTTCTTCATTGTCCTCCAGGGTCAAATGACCTGGATACACCTGCAATGCATTAAGTCTGGTGTATCAGACTTCTCGCAGCAGAGCAGCAGTGTGTGGCACCACACTGCATTCATATCTGTCTGATCCTCTGAGAAATGAGGTTTCTCTCAAACTTTTGAATGCACCTACAGTTGTTAACCAGGTGTGTGGCCAACAGATTAACACTGAACATTCCCTCTGCTTTGGCCTAGTTATTAATCGTTAATTTTTCATTTCCGGTGCTCTATTTTTTTTCTGGCACTTTCTCCAGTCACACACTGCTTTCTGCACAAAGTTATTTATGAAGACACTGATGTTTAAGCTGCATCACTGCCTTCATAAAACAGTGGGCTATTGGCCTTTGTCACTTAAGTGAAATCTGTGGGGTTTTGTGATTCAAACTGGGGGAGAAATAATTAAAATATCTAATTAAATAATTAAAAATCTTATATATGTCCTTGTGGTTGTGGAGCTGAAACGGATATTAGAGTTTCTCCACTGCGTGCCCATTATGTAGGCTCTGCGTTATCCATGTTTGATTCATAAACCAGAAAATGCGATACTCATTCAACACTAAGAATGACTTTTGGATTACACATTAATTTGCAACAGTATAAATATGACGCACAACTTTAACAAGATTATAGTATTAAACATCCATCCATTCGCTTCCGCTTATCCTTTTCAGGGTCACGGGGGCGCTGGAGCCTATCCCAGCTGTCATAGGGCGAGAGGCGGGGTACACCCTGGACAGGTCGCCAGTCTGTCGCAGGGCCAACACACAGGGACAGACAACCATTCACACTCACATTCACTCGCACATTCACACCTAGTGACAATTTGGATTAATCAATTAACCAAATAGTATTAAACAGTTGATCACAATTATTAATCATGATTAATATCAGCCAACACACAGTTAACATTAGCCCTTTACGTATTAGAAATTACCCAATAGTGACGTGACACAAGGGTAGGAGCTAGCAGCTACACTCAGAAAAATAAAGGTGCCAACTGGAACCAAAAGTGGTTCTTTAGACTGATGCCATAGAAGAACCTTTTTTGGTGCCACAAAGAACCTTTCAAACAATGGTTCTTTGAAGAACCATTTCTTTCAGTGGTTCATTGAAGAACCTTTAAAGGTGCCCCAAAGAACCATCAAGAAATGGTTCTTTGG